ACCTGATAATGTTACTGAGAAAAAATGCAATCAAGGAGAAGACAACTCGGACTCTCTTTTTCTGGCATCTTTTATTTTGGTCTGTCACACTCTACCTTTACCTTCCACATCCCTTTTTGTACAGCTGGCTACTCAGGTCAATGCATTATTAAATGTTTTCTGTATGTTCATATTAAGTATTTTGTGTCATCAGTGCTCAGACTTTGGTAAGTTTGATATTTGTGTGTCCTTTGTGATCTAAGTTAATTTAGATTTATTGTAAGTTAGATATGGATTATTACTTTGTTTTCTAGGTGATTTTAGTCAACTTACATGTTCAATGTTATTGTGTACTTTGTAGACTAGGCAAGTTTTGATGGTTTGTCAGTTCGATGTTAGTGAGAACTTTGTTAACTGGGTATGTTTAGATAATATGTACTTTACATATCATTCCTGTAAGTAACATCTAATTCATTGTTCTGTCGAATAATTTTTTTTATCATTGTTAAATATGTGCCTTTTCCTACATTCTTGATACTGGAGTCAAATTTTTCTCCTCATTCACTCCATTCAGTACCCACATTCTCAATAGTTGTTTATAGCTAGAAGTCGAGTGTTCCAGTTTAGGGTCCTACCATTTGGACTAACCTCAGCTTCTTATGTGTTTTCTCTGGTGGTAAGAACTTTTACCTGACATCTTCACAATCATTGTTGCAAGTACAACTGGCTCCTGCTTGCTTCTTTCCATTCACAGTTCAGAGACCACACTCATCTGGTCCTACAAAAAAAGAAGCATGGGTGGGATTCCTACGGAGGAAAAGTCCATTCTACCCCCACTGGTTTTCTGTAATTCCAATCTCAGTCAGTCCCAGCCTTCTCCTCTTCATCTTCAGGATATGGAGGAAGCAGTCTACAAGGCCCTCGCCTTACATTCTCTCACATCTCAAGAGGTTCTCTTTTAGGAATGTGAGCTTTCTTCATTCCCATGGATGTTGCTCATTTGCATTCCCTTCAGTGGACACTTCTCGATCTGTGAAACTTCTACTCTGTTCTTTTGGATTACCCCTTTTCCTTCCCCAATCAGGGCCAGCCAGGCTTGGTGGCTTTTTCCACGTCATTCAGATTTACATCTGTTTAAGGATGCTTCTTTAGAGGGTTGGGGTGCTTACCTCAACATTTGGGAGATTTCTGGTATCTTGTCAGTCGAGGAGTCTTCTCTCCATATCAACGTTCTTGAACTGATGGCATTTTGTTGACCATTGTTCCACTTTCTTCCTTTCTTGTGGGGAGGATGGTTATGATACACTTTGACAACTCCACAGAGGCCATTTATATCACCAAGAAACTGTGCTCTGTGCTTTAAGACTTGAATTTTGTTTTCTGGGCCAACAGTCACCCACAGTAGTCTTAGCTTGCCATGTTCCTGGTACCCTAAATCTGGTTGTGGATCATCTATCTTGATCCAACAAGATTCTCCCTATGGAGTGGTCCATTGACTCACAGGTCTTTCAGTGTGTGTTTTCTCAGCTGGGAACACCTCATATTGATGCTTCTGCCACTCACTGGAACACCAATCTTCCTTCCTTTTGGTTTCCTGTTCCACACCAACTAGCTATGAGTGGATGCATTCAGTCAATATTGGAGGAGTCATCACATCTATGCTTACCTTCCTAGTCCTCCTGGTGGCTCCATATAGGCAACCATGGTTGCCACTGCCCTGACCTTGACTTTTACAATCTCTCCTCGTGTAGCTTTGTGTGAAATTCAAAACAATTCAAACCAAATCAAACCTTACCTCTTTCTCAGTCTCTACTCTATGAACTTCACTTGGACATTGTTCATTTCGACATCTCCACCCTCTGTCTTCATGCATGGTTTCTGTCAGGTCCATTGCCTAAGCCCAGGGATTGACTCCCTGTGTTGTGTCTTTCCTTTCCACATCCATACTGCATTCTTCCATGTCCATTTACCAAAGGCGATGATCTGCCTTCTGTCTTTGGTCTCTTCAACGTGGTTTCTGTCCTTCCCACCCTTCCATATCTCATCTTTCCCAATTCTTCACCTGGATGTTTGAAAAAGGCTTGTCCACTTCTACTGTGTCTAGCTATTGGGTGGCCTTGTAAAACACCTTCCATTTCTCCAAGTTTCATGAGGTTTTGTCTTCCCCTGTCATTGCCCTCCTTTTCTCCTTTTTTTCTGATCATGCATCCTCCATGTTCTTTTGATTTGCTTGATTGGGATCTCATAGTGGTACTTTATGCCCTTTCACATTATCACTCTGAACCTTTGTTGATGTATTCCATCTCTCTCTCTCAAGACCTATTTTCTTCTCTTCAGTTGTGGGCATCATTGATCAGATATTTATGCCATTAATATTACCAGAATCCTCTACCATTACACGTATGTCATTCTGTATCCAGACCAGTCCTTCTTTCTTAAGAACTATGTTGTCCATGAAGGCTGTTAGGCTTTCAAACCCATTTTCTTACCTTCCAGCTCCCACCTGTACACCAATTCTGATCCACATTGATTTCTTTTGTCCAGTTGGCTCCTTACAGTGTTACGTGGCACATACTGCCCAGTTGGCTCCTTACAGTGTTACGTGGCACATACTGCCCAGTTGGCTCCTTACAGTGTTACGTGGCACATACTGCCCAGTTGGCTCCTTACAGTGTTACATGGCACATACTGCCCAGTTGGCTCCTTACAGTGTTACGTGGCACATACTGCCTTCTTTCAGAGCTCATGTTCCCGGCTTTTTCTTCCCTAGGATCCATCTGTTTATCCCCTGTCACTCTAACTGATTGGGTTAATCAACTCATTAGGCTGGTGTATTCTGACTTATCCATAGAAGTTAGGCATTTATCACTTTGTTTTAATCTCTATGCAGATTCTTACTGAATTTAAATGAATATTGGCTTGTACAGTTGAAAACAATAAAAAAAATTTCAATATATATGTTTAGGTCACTAGCCTATGACTTTTCTAAGCTAAGATACGGACAGTTACATCACAGCATGACAATCAAGGTTGAGAAACAATGATTGGCTAAAAATAGATAAATCTACACTTGTATTCAAATTATAAAGTCAAATTAGCACTGTTTTTTTTCAAAACTGTTATGAAATTTCCCCAAGAGAGCTACAAGTATCATAATACATTTAGAAATTCACATATTGAACATACAAATAGAATGATACAAAATGAAATTTGACTTTAGTCAACCGAATTGAGCAAAATATTAAACAAGAAGACAAAGCTACACACACACATGTGTGTATATATACAGTATGTACAAAACATCTCTTAAAGTGATGATAGGAAGTTATCAAGGTCCTCCACCAATGTTGGATTTATATAGTAAAATCATGGTTGAAAACACTGAGTAAACTTAACTTGTGGTAAAGTAGCAGTTGAGCTGGCAGTACAAGGTTAAAAGTGGTTGTGACCTGACTTTTTCAAATAAAAAAGCCATCTGAACATGTGTAGTGAATGTTCAGTACACCTAGTTTCCTTGTTTCTATGCATATGTAGTTATAATATTCAGGCCTCCGAGTGCACTGGTTTTTGTCAGTAGGCTTACCAGTCACGAGTATAGCAATCTCACATACATGCGAGTTTTTCCACCATTTTCTGCCTGCAAAAGCAGAGCACCAGTTCCAGTGGGAAAGATGGTAAAACTTAAAACCAACATATTACATTGATTGTTGTTAGTAAGCTATTTCACAAGCACTGACTAATACTTCTAACTCTACAAGTTTCGTTGCATTCTGACAGACACTACAGATAATATGAACAAATAAGTAAAATTATACCTCATATATTTAAAATTACATCATAATGCTAGTAAAATATATGTGTAGGAGAAATAATATATTCAGAAATAGCATTGAGACAAAACATTCAGTAACATCCAAAGTAAAATGCAAATTGCAGCAGACTAGTAGAACAATTTGGGACATATATATCCCAGATTTACGTGTGGCCTGTCACAAACTTTTAATATTATGATGCAAAGGTCAGAAAAATTAATTAGTTATAATTTGGTCTCAGATTTGTGATATTCCATGACCACTGTGAGCTTTGCAAGATCAATAGACAAACCATCCCTGTCTGTTAAATAACCTAGAAACTGCATTTGTGTGTTCATAAATGTACACTTTGCTGGTCTCACTTTCAAGCCTGAGTTCTTGATGTGTTGGAATATTATTCTCAGATTCTCAACTATGACCACAGAGGATATATTCATATCCTTGTCATTGAAATTATCAAAATGTAAGCTCCATCATCCTTACAAAACTAGGAGTTGCATTAAAAAGACTGAATAACAAAATGAATAAGTCATACAGTTCTTCCCAAATGCTGAAAACAATTTTAAAGTCTTTTCATATCATCCAGTTTAACTTGTAGAAATATAATCTAGTGTACTGAACCAACAAGCACCCACTAAATCATTCAGACATTTATTTGTATCCATAAGTGTACTTGCTGTACCATTAGGATCATTAATACATCCTGATTTTTGTTATAATGATCTATGTGTGTGACCCTCACACCTGGTGTCAAACAATTATGAAAAAATCACTTTCAACAGAAGGCGTTTACTCTTGTTCAATTGTTATTATCACCAATATGTAAAGAAAGGGACTTATACCAAGTATACACATATTCACTCCTTTCTGGCATTCTGTTATGTTGGTAACTAGAAACACTGTGGGAGAAAATGATCAGTTATCATTGTATTCAATGGGTCAGTGAATTTTAATACCAAAAATGTATTTGTGACTTGAAAATTTTTTGTGTTTTGGGTTTATTTAGGCTTGATGAATCATCATTTGTGGTTTTTTGTGTTATCCATAATAGTATAGATCCATCGTTGCAGATTTTATTTACATACTAACATAAGTAACAGTCAGTGTATGTTTGAATAAAATAACTGATATGTATTAGAAGATAAAATCTGTTCACATACAATCATCGAAATCAGCAAAATATGTTTACTTGACATTTTATGGTTACAGGTGTGCTTTAACAGAGCTCTTCACTGAAGGTCATGTCCCTTTTGACTTCTCTCAGTTACTGACTTATCGAAGTGGTGAGTACAGTCCATGGAAGGTGATTGAGAAAATTGAAGATCCATGTATTAGGGTAAGCCTAATTTGTGTAAAATATAATTTTAGATTTTTGGAATCACATGATACCACTGTTGTGAATGCCTCACTCCCTAGTGGGTAAACTATAAGTTTACGAGGTTCAGTTCCTCATGGTGGACTGTGCAGAGTGCCCATTGTGTAGCTTTGTACTGAGGGAACAATAACAATAAGTATTGTAAATCAATGTTTCAGAATGTGTTGTCTGATATAATATTTTTTTATCCTATAAACTAAATGTTTTACAAAAACATTTATTCAAACCTTTCATGCACAAAATATCAGATTTTTTTTTATTCAGTTCTAAGATTTTTATGTAATGTTTATCTCATGCCTGTATTTATTTTAAAATCATGACTATCAAACGTGCAAAGTAATTTTAATTTTAAGATTAAAAATAATTTTATGCATCAGAAAATTTTAAAATTTCACATGGAAAATCTTTATAACTTCCAGATAATTATCAAACATTTTTTAAGAAAAAGCTTTATATTTTATATGTTATTTTTCACTATTGAATAAATGTATGGGTTCGGTCTGACTGACCTGTAACAACTATAAAAATTAGGAAATAAACATAAATTATGTTTTTTTGTTCTAAAATGACTACAAATTATATAAAAAAACACAAATGTTTAGTGTAAATAGCTAAAATCTCATAAAATTATACATTGGCTATCAATACAGAAGTCACAGTGATGCGGCTCACGTGCACTAATGCTACCGTATCAAATAGTATAAAACTGACCTTTAATCTTTACAAAGTGACCTGTCTTGGCTGTGTTTAGTAGACTAGTATTTTGTAAATTACAGTCACATTTCAATTAGTATACATAATATATGTATATACATTATTACTATTTACAAATAATTCTTAAACTTATTTTTCTTAAAACATAGAATAGTAAATAAAGAAGTATAACAAACAATATCTCTTCTAGTTATGAACTAGATACAATTGATGCCCCTCCTCTCCCACCACCATGCTTAATATCATTTATTTATTTTGGGAACAAAACATATAGAGATAATGTGTAATTTGTTTTGCTGGAATAAATATTAAATGTAAAATAGAATGAATGCAAATACTCCCAAAATAAACCAGTTTTTACATTGGAGCCTTTAACCCTTTCCATACAAATTTACGAAGAGTATCTTCATGAAATTTGGCAAGCTTTTATATACATTCTAAGTTTGTCGTAGATAAAACATCAGATGTTTTACCCCTAGATGTGGATTCTTATATGTGGTGAGGGGACTTTCCAGGGAAGGTTCTGTCTATACAGTTTACCTTCTCTAGGATTCAAACATCCACTCATGTGTTTGCAATACATGGCAACTTCTGAAGGGGAGGAGAGAGAAGATCCTGGTGACTAATTGGTGTCAGGTGCAACAAATGACCTTGGCCTTGGATTTCTGTAGACATGACCTTGAGGTGTACCCTTACCCCCACCCCTGCATCATTTGGTTGGTCCTGTGAAGTCAGGGTCATTTGAGTGACAGTATTGGACATCTTCAGTGGGTGTTTGGACATTATGTTTGGTGTTGGTGTGATGGTATAGTTCCCACAAAACTCTGACATAGCTGTACTTTCCAAGTTTGACAGTGTAGCAATTCCCTTCTAATGCTCCATGATGGGTGGGATTGGGGGATACTGAAGTTTTCTATATGTTTTTCATGAATAATCAAAATTAAATGAAAACTTAATTGGAAAATGACCATGAATGGAAAACTCTGATCTACAGTTGCCATCTTCTACCATTCCTATACCTCAGTCTCTTGAAAAATGATGTTTAAGCAAACTGTGACTTCTAACATATAGCTTGTCCTTATTAAATAATACAGGAATAATGTTTTACAATTTCACATATAAATATAGGTAATAGTTCAATGAAACTTTACAAGCTTAGATCATGTGGTCATGGAGTGACACACTGTAGTCAAGGAAAGATCTGGGAAATGTCAGGGAACTTCATTCTACCCAAGGTGTGTTAGAACAATAAACATACAACAAGACTTCTCATCAATAAATCTGGGAACTCATGGACTGGTTTCTTTAAATAATGAACTTCTCATCTGGTTCATCTGGGAAATGTCAGGGAACTTCATTCTACCCAAGGTGTGTTAGAACAATAAACATACAACAAGACTTCTCATCAATAAATCTGGGAACTCGTGGACTGGTTTCTTTAAATAATGAACTTCTCATCTGGTTCAGAGGAAATATTCTCAACTGAACTTTGCCAGTTAAGTCTACCTAATTCCTGTTACTTGACGTATGATTAACCCTTTTTTCCCCTTTGATCTGATTTGGCTTGAATACTCATCCTTAGGCTATTGCCTCCTTGAGGTATGAACAGCTGTTTATTCCCCACAGTCTGATGTAATGATCAGGTTTCTCACATCAGTAACAGTTCACTCTTTCTCATGTACATAACAACTACCAACAGGTTCAAAGTGACACACCACAAGGAAGTATCCAGAGAAACAGGCTATGAAAGATAGACTGTAGCTGAACTTGCAGAAAATTTGAAAAGGTTTACCCAGTTTTCTTATCTGGATGCTCTTCATGAAGTGATGCATTTGTTGGCACATATAAGATGAGGATATATGAATTAGGCTGAAACAAAGTAGGTTTATATATTTACAGAAAGCTCTGCAGTTGGTGCTACAAGTTGAATTTATTAAATTGCAGAAAAACATTTAAAGCACCATTTAAATGTTATGGGATCATCAGATTGGGTAGTATTGAAGCATTAACTCCCTCTGATGATACTCTTGAAGAATAAAAGGATTAGTTAAGTGACTAATTAAACAAACTGGAAGGAATCCACAAGACAATAGATGTTTCAAGAGTAATTTGAAATGACATATTGCCATGTACTGCAGACAAAAACCTGTAGGGAAAAAATACGCAAAAATGCGTTAATGGCAGAATAAAACATTTGGAAAACAAACTTGTAAATGCAAAGCTACACCTCTTTCTGAATCTGTCTTAGAATTCCAACCTAGAATACCAACTATCACAAACCAGAATAGGAGAACCTAACTGCTCTACACCTATTACCACTACTGTTGTACCATCTGTTACTGCAACTCCTGGACTACTCCAGTAATGTTTATACTATATTCAGAAGCAGATTTAACCTAACAGGTGAGAATAAAAACCAGTGTTTCTGATTCTTCCAGTTTTTGATTATATAACTATCCAGTAATCAAAATAGTGTCATTATGATTTTTTTCTTATTTTTGATTACTTCAAGTTTGTTCATTGTAATCGAATAGTGTCATGACTTGTGAAACAATCAACTAATAAACTGATTTTTGCATTTGAACTTTAAAGAAAATTTGAAAAATAATCAAGATGTAAAGTGTTTGAATTTAAAATAGGATTTACAAGAAAAAGACATAATACTTAAAGAATTAAAAACAAAAATAAATCTGATTGAAGAAAGTATCAATGAAGTTATTGAAGATGTACAGAGAGATTACAACAATAAGATTGAAGAAGTACAAATAGGCTGTGCTGACAAAATTGAAGAATATACAACCAGCATTAATGCAGTAAAAAAAAATACATCAATAAAGTACAGAAAGGCTGTAATGACAGAACCGTATTTGATTATTTTTGGAACATTAATAAACTTAACCATTATTTTAATTACTGGATAATTGGACTAATTGAAAACACTAGATTATTTTTGTGAAATTGATTAATGTAATCCTTATTTTGATTAATTAGTTATCTTGTATGGCATTAATCAATATAATTGGTGCTTATAGGCAATCAATTAACCCTTTCATTGCTCTGTACATCATATGATGTTTCTCTAGTTAACAGCTCCACACATCATGTGGTGTTTTAGGTTTTCCCCACCACCAATTGAAATTCCAACTGGTATTTGATTGTACCAGTGACCATTAGATGTCACTCCAGCACTTATACATAGAATGAAAAAAATATATACAGTTTAAATATTAGGCATTTATACAATAGTTTTAGTGAGTTATATTAGTTTGCTAAGTGTAATATTCATTAAATATAGACATGTTATTAATGACCAGTGGTTTGTCAGGAAGTGAGATAAAAAAGGAATCTTGCTCGCCCTCCTGTCTTATCTCACAATCAGTAAGGGTTGTATTGGACTCAATTGACCCCACTCCCTTCTCTCTCAGCACAGTACTGGGCCTACATAAAGATCATTATATGAATTTTTGGTGTTTATTTTTGACTTTGGATATTGTGCTATGATTTCACACGGTAAATGTTCTTTATATTTGTGTGCATGGAGTAAGGGGTTTTCCACCCCAACTGAATAGTGGAAGGGTTAATGGAGTTGATCACCCAGCTCTTGTTAGTGTTGCTTGGTAGTGACGGATTTTCAATGGTGTCGAGGACTGAACCATCTAAACTAGGAATCAAGCATTACATCACCTGCTACAGTTACCTGCCTTAAATATCTGGTGAAATGACTGAGGTTGTCATTTGTCATTCCATTAAAAGTCAGTGTTGAGATATGCTTTGTCTCTCTCACAGGTGACTATGATCTTGGTGTAAGCTTCCCAGCCTTGGAACTAGTGACCTATGCCAGATGGAGCCATCATTACTGCTGCAGATTTGGTAGAGTGGGCCAGTGCAAGAGTCTGTGAACTAGGATGACATTATACCTGTGGTACCACTTCAAATTGCTTGGTGCAATTTCAGGCTTCTTCATGACCCTTGACTGCTATTTTAGTAGCCCTTCCTGCTCGGAGAAGCTTAAAACTATCCCACAGATCACCGAAGATACTTTGCTGTTTTGTCTGCCTGTTGGCAAATGTCATCCAGTAATGGCACATTCTCCATCTCTCCTGATCAAGTGGTGGCACTGATTAGAGCTGGGGTGGCTATACTCAATTAGTTTTGACCACCATGAAAATCTTCAGTCGATTATGTATTCCATGTTTCAAAGTCAAACCTCAGGAAGAGAAGCACCTCAGTCACTTTGGGTGTTCCAGAGAGTGGTGGTCCTCTTTTCCTGGACAGAAGTTGCAGTGAGATATTTGTTAGGAACATTCACAGCATTGGTAAAATTCTAATGTCCATTAGAAGACTTGTCCTATACCTGATGGTTCTCCCCGGCAACCACTCATCTCCAGCAGCTGTCTCTTCCTCCTCACTATAAGTTTTCACTTGGGGAATGTTATTCCCTAGCAATGTTCTAACTCAAAGATACAAAAGTCTGTGGAGTATGGACAATAAGACATTGCTATAAAAACAGACCTTCAGAATAATAGTATCCATGGTCATGACATCACATTTCTCCTTCCTACTTACTCTGTTGTATTCTCAGATTGCCTTGACTTCACTCTGGGTAGCCTGCAGGAAGTGTAGAAGCAGGAGGATTTGTCAGATACTGCATTATGGAGCATTGCTGTATTTTATCTGCCTATGACTGAATTTTAACCAAAAGTAAGAGACTGGCTATAGAGTGTAAACAATCAGTCTTTATTATACAAAACAAATTCAAGTTTAAACACTTGGGTAAGTGCTTGTAGTTAACTGGGGAGGGAGGGCTTTATTAATGCTCTCTCACCATTACCTCTAAAATTATCTTGAGTTTAAGTTGTTATACACACAATCTACATATTTGATAAATCTATCTCAAACAAAGAAGCAAAGTTTCTAAGAATGCATGCAATAACTCTTTGAATCTTTAAGTCTGGTTAATTTCTAAAAGTTTGCAAAATCCTGGGCATATACCAATTTCTAGTAAACAAAGTAAAGCATTACATTACTTACAAGGTTCTCTCTTCTCAGACACACACACACACACACTATCTATGTGACTGAGGGCCACTCTTATGTCAACAAGAGATGAAACATATTCTTGAACAATACCATGATTCACTAACAGAACACACCTCTGCTTCTGTTCATAGTATAGCAAGTTGTTTTTATTGTGTGCCAGCAGTGGTGAACAGAGCGAAACTGTGTGTTTTTGTTTTTCTTTGCAAACCAAAACAAAGATAAAAACATACAATGTAAAAGGAAAACTTAGTTGACAATTTTAAATGAATGTAGGAATACAAAAATCAGTAATTTAGATGTAGAACAAAGGTAAGCATTTTTAATTGTTTCTTCAAAAGTATCATTCAGATATTTTTAAATTTTCAAAGCTGAAAATTTGTACAAATATCACATGAAAAAATTTATTTGTAGAAGGTACAGAATTTGTAAAGTTTCCACACAAGTTTTAAACTGTTTCATAACTTTTTTAAAATACAATAAAACATATCACACAACAAACTAACAGTTTTGTATTCTATCACTAGATCTAACAATGAAGTTTGATTTCATAGACGTATTTCTGAAAGTAGTAATTGAAATGTATTTTTACAAGTTTTTGCTTGTAGCTTTACGCCTGTACTTATGTTATAAGAACTACAAGTGTCATGATTTATTAGCATTTTGCTTTACAATTTACTAATGCACATTAGAGAATACACTTAACACAAACTTGTGTTCAGATTTTATTTAAAACATAATAAATAGCAAAAGCAAGTGAAATAATATAAATTGAAATACATGTCTATAAATAATTATTGGTATACTTTGGTGACAGATTTTCTTGTAGGCAGATTTTGTTAAACAAGACCGATGTCTGTAGATTTTACTTTCTTCTTAGAATTCTTCTCAAGAAGTCGATAAG